ATTGTTTCATAAATGGACTAGTTCTGAAAGTGCTGTTGAAACATTCCCGAAGACCTGCCTTAATAGACGCAGATGTTCTGACCTCAATTTGTATTACACCTTATTTCTTCAATTGCTCCTTCCTCATCATTCTCTAAGGAATTACATCAAGGTGAACTTCACTGATCACTTCCAAGCTCCCACATATACGGTAATGTGTATACTATTGTCCCACACCACATAAACCACAATTTTATCACTCGTATATAGTTGCTTCTCGTAATCAAGCACTTCACAAAGGTACATTTGTTCCATGTCAACTGTGGTCGGTGGGGCAACGGAGGGAAGACAACCGAACTTCAGAAGAAAATAGCATAACAATTTTTTCTTCAAAGTAACTTTCATACATGATACACATGTTGCAGTTCCATTTTTTAAATGCGCTTTTTATCTTACTTCATTCTAGAACACTTGAACTCGCCAATTTCAACATAAAGCCCCACAATCAGGCCTCATTTATCAGTTTTATCTAGTACATCTCACCCTAAAGACTACTCTCGGGGTGAGTAATCTATCTGTCTTCAACACAGAGAAAACGTTTTCAATGGCATTCACATCCGGGCTGGATTGGTAAAAAGGGATCGACAATTGGATGAGCAAAATAAGTTAACGGATTACGGGAGAACGCCATTCCCCGTCCACTGAAGATGTCATATCGGTTGGCAATCAGTTGTTTAGAAACAAGCTCGTCAAAACGGTTTCAGTTAATTCACTTGACCGATAACCAATTTTCTTCGTCCAGTCTCATATTGTCAAGGTTCTTGGTTATTTTTGTTTAGTTTCCTTCAGCTCTGAACGCTCTTACCACATGATTGCATTGGCCATTTTTATACACGATGAAAATAAAGCAGAAACCACGGTAGCTCACAGATACGGACAGATAGAAGAATCTCGGGACTTCTATTTTGTTTTGTTTTGATGTATCTTGTTTAATTTGTACTGCAGTTTGACATTTTGTATCGGACGCACGAATGTATGAGGATTTTTACTGACACCGCGATTCTGTCGCCGTTGATGGGTGAGAATGGGGACTGGTAGAGAGGGAGAGGGAGGAGAGATCACGTTCGTGTATCTATCGACGAAGTGTATTGTCTTCTAAAATACACAAGATAGAAAACCGATTGTAAACTGATCCCCGGAACAATGATCAACGGTAACCCAGGCAGCCTTTCTTTGGCCGCAGCTCCCCTTCCTGAAAGTTGACTGTACATTTGTGTATTCAATAAAAAGAAAAAGGAAGTAAAAAGACATTTTTTAGTTTTTTTAACCCAGACTTTCGATCGACAGTGCTGTGCTATTGGCTATCAATTATACTACACATGATTTATGCAACCTTTGCCGACAGTTCGCATAACTGATTTACATTTAGCCACCGATTGTTCGTACGCTTGATATACGCAGATCCCAGATGTTTAGTGATGGTTTGCACTCATTTGCACTATCATTTTTTTGACCTCAAGCGACTGTCCGAGATTCGACAAGGCATTCTTTCTCACTCTTCGTGCAAAACATACCGAAAAGTGCTCCGGTTACCAATCAACCGGATATTTTCCACTCGCATTTTGTCAAAGCAATCAGAGAAGTGTTGCTGACTTGCTTGTCTTCGTTCCATTTACAACCCGAGCTGAGTGAACGTGTCCCACTTAATGATGATTTCCTCACCACGTGACCCAGTCCCCATTTCGTGATTTGTCACGTGAACCATGGAGGAGATCTGCCTTGACCCGAGTCACGCTGATGTACTTTTCGGATCAAAACACGGCGTTCTACAACCACCAGACTTCGTTGATGTGTATTTTTTCTGTCTTGTTTTTTCCTCTCTCTCGCTCGACCGTTACTTGTTTTTAGAACGCACACTTCATTCTGCGCACAGCAGTTAACTGTTGTTTTCTTCTTATTCTATCGACACATTTATCATTTCACAGAGGAAATTAAATAAAAAATCATTGTTCTGTAACAAACAATAGATCGCAATCTACTTATCCGTAACGAACAGTCGAGTTATGGGACGAAAATGTGTCCAGAGCTTTTTAAGTTGTCAATTCAGAGAGTCGTTAATCAGCTTACAAGATGCGTCATAACGTGACACAGTACTCCACGCGTGCTTTAGAAGTTATGTTGGAAAGATAGTGATCTAATTAGGAGGATTTGATTAGGTGATTCGGAAGCTAGAGACACTATTAATGACGATTTCTAGCTGACTTACCGAACTGGGGATCAAAGAAAGGAAAAACAATGTGCGTCAATCTGCCGACATCATCCAGGATAGTTTGAGTAGTCTGCATACCAGATAACCGATCTCGCATGCTCGGGTTTAAAACCTAGTGGGTTACGTGTATGGCTTCCAGCACATTTCACTAGTTACTGGTGGGCTGATTTAGAACGAGTAAACTTACCCTCAACAAATGTATCGTTACTGGCAGTGCGGTTGGATGAAGAGCTAAGCAAACATGTAGGATGACTCTAAATGAATGTCACACGCTTTAGGGAGTTCTATGCTAGTTTTATTCTACTGATGGTTATTCCCATAATAAATCTCGAACGGCATCTTTTTTACGGTCGTTCAGCAATCCAGAATATGTTTACTGCTTTTATCTGATTTTGTGCTATCAACTCGTGAGAGTAACCTCACGCTTCGCAGTTTCATGCGTGGGATGCCCATGACTACGTGATATCAAACTCTGGATTGTAAGGAGATCAGTGTAATCAACTGAAACGCAATATCGCCTGCAAGTGATCAGCTGTTGGATCGAAAATGTGTTTATACTTTTTTTACTTTTCAAAAGCCTTTCTTCTGCACAAATCACAAAATTTGCACGCAGCACAACCTGTTCTGATAACTATTCAGTGCAAAAAACGGACAAAATCCGACGGACTATGTCGTCAGATTAGGGCACGTTTGTTTTCGCTCACGTGATGTAGAGTCAGTATCACTGGACTCTGGTATAAAACTGAACAAGTAGCCAGCAATTGAATTTATCATAGTTACCTGACCTTAGTCATGATTGAAAAGATCACAGAAACGGATGGACAATTTATATATTTTTTTATTTTTAAGAAATGTGATTCTTTAGGATTTTATTGATGCAGTTTAAGCTACACAACTGTTTTGTCGGCAACTTGCACTGAACTGTATATTCTAGTAATTGTTTTGCATAGGGTGCACGCTTATTCTCCGGTAGACATCATCCAGAAGGGTCACACGTTAGGCATTGCATAGAAATAAAAAATCCTTCTTAACATCCGTGTTCACAAACACACACTGTTTACCAAGACCTATCCAACAAGATAGAGACACAATTCATCAACTAGTTTTCCTATGTGGATGTGGTATACATGCTGATCTGAGATTAAACATTTACAGAAAACATTCTTGTTTGACTTTTTTGCATCCACCTTGTTAATTAGCTACATAGATACATAACCATAATCATAACCGCTGTTTATCAGAGAAGTGTGGAGGATTTGGTTCGTTTGTATAATGAATTCGTCGTGTAAATGAAGGTAGTGGGCCGAGAAGCTAGGAAGTGCTGAACAGTGGTTTCGATCTGGTTTTCTCATCACCAGTTCGAATCCATCCACCCAACTCGGGATGAAACTCAACTAGGTCGAAACAACTGTCCACTGCTTTATAGCTTTTCAGCTCACGTCTCATTTACACAGGGAAGATATACATATATATATTTCATAATTAGTAGTATGTGAATGAATAGACAAAATTTCCGTATATTATATTATATTTCACACTTGTCTGAGGACAGACTGTGTGCCAAGTAAATCATGGTACAATAATCTTTGTAAAAAAGAAAGTGTTCCACGATTGGCTTGTGGGCTGAATACTGCCAGGTTGCCCAGGCCAAGGCAGGTGAATTTTCTTGAGGAATCTACAACCGGAGCCTTCGGCTAGCCAAAGTCTGGCCCGCAAGGCAGCCGGGTGGTGTGTGAGAATCGCAGTCCATTGGGAGCCGGTGTCCAGTTCATCGGATCATACGCCCTTCGGACGGGTGCCCAATACACCTCAATGCCCAATCGAGCCGGAGACCACTACCACAACCGAAAAGATGTGGGTGTGGTTCTTACGCCTTTTGGGTTGTTTGGAATCAGGGTTTATAGCCAACTCCCCTAGGTGAACTACCAGTGGTCCACCAACCCGGTTATAGTCCCGAATACCGGCTTTTCGTCCTCTCACTTTGGTGGGAAAACATCTCCACCACGAAAAAGCAGTGAATAGGGCTTCCTCAGCAGAGGCTGTTTGAGAGGCTTGGTCGTATGCGAGCATTTTGTGAGGTGCCAGGGAAGAGTGACCAGCCGCAACCCTAGACACCCACCCCCGACCATACTGAGGCTTTCGGAGGCACACGACCGGTTTCGTGGTTCTTGCCGCTCGTCAGGCATGCGTATTTGGTAATATTTTGTCAGTTCATTCATTCACTTGTACCCAAGAAGTATATTTTCGTCACAATAACCTTGTTTACAACACCGGGTGACTTTTGGATAGACAGTTCTTTCATAGCCAGTCCGTTAAAGAATCAATGCTATGATTCAATGTTTGTAGGTGGGTTAGACGCTCTTAACCGCAACAAACTTTACTTGATAGTCTTCATAGAATATATAGAGTTATATTATTATTAGTATTAATTATATATAAAATTATGAAATATTCTATAAAGACTATCAAGTCACGTTTGTTGCGTTTAGTGGCGTCTAACCCACACACAAACACATTGAATCATAGCATTGGTTCTCCAATGGACTGGCTCTGATAGAGCTGTCCATCCAAAAGTCACCTGGTGTTGCAAACAAGGTTATTGTGATGAACATATAAACTGTGACTACATTTCATTTCGTCCCATTTCTGCTTGTTGTGGAATCACTTGCTCCTTGATTATCGTTTTGGGTAAGTGATCCCCAACCAGCATATATTTCTCTTCCTTTCCATTACCGTTACCAACTTCTATCAGGTTGTACAGAATTCCGTTCAAGTTCTAACGCTTCTCGATCTGGCTGGGCATTCGAAATATCAGCGTACTACACTTGCAGGCTTGTCGCGAAGTCAACCGGTTGGCGTGTTGTTGGTTGTGTCCGCGACCACCGGTCTAACCTCAGTCGGACTGGAGCATGCAGAACTGGCTCACGGACTTGGTTTGCCTTTGGCTGTGGTGATCAGCAAAATCGACCAGTTGGTTGGGGAAACGGATCGATTGAATATTGTCAATACAATCCGTCGAGAGCTGATACGCAAACTAAATGTGACCACATCCTCGCCCTCAGGGAAGGAAAATCCGGAACGAGATGCAGTCAGTATCACGAAAGGACGAAAATGCTCCGTTGGGTGAGGCTACAATCGATTATCTGTTTCCCATCAATCTGTTTTTTTTTTAAACTTCAGTTATCGTCTTACACTTATGTGTATGGTTTAATTTGTTCAGTCTTATGTGCACAGTAAGTTCAATGTTCAGTGTTGGTCAGTTAGGGATAGGGGGAAACCTCCCGTAGGAGACTCATCGCCACTGACTCAGTGTATGCGTTCATTTCACGAAGAACACCTTGAAGCCTCTTCTTGAACGAGCTGTCATTGACCTCATCCCCCAGATCAGCTGGAAGATCATTTCATGAATTGTTGACCCTGCACGACAGCTAGTACGTGAGAGGGAACCCGATTGACGGAAGCTTCAACAATGTGTTCGGTTCTGTTCGCGCGGAAGGAAGTATTCCATTAACTCGGAAACCATTTCAGTCCTTTGGTCTGCTAGCGTTCAGTGTAGCATTATCCAGGTAGCCCGGCCATGAGACGAGTGGCAACTCGTTAAACCCTCTCCAACTTCTGAAATTCGGCTGATGTGTAAGGATATACCGCGGAGCTCGTAAACCCCAAGCGAGGTCGGACATAAGAGGTGTACAGCGTCCTGAATTCATCGTAAAAGAGTTTGGAAAAGGAACAGCAAATAGCTCCGAGGATTCTCCAACCTGAGACATTGGCTTTGTTCGTCTGGTTTTTAATGACGAGGAAACCAGCTCTTCGAGGTTCCGTTGTAACCGCACAGGGTTTAACTCGGCACTGGATTCTCAAAGAATCGTCTTCCGGTAACGTTTGCTTGTCCAGATAGGAACTCCACAGGCAGTCAAATAGAACACAGCTGAAAACTTGCATGAATTCATTTATTATGCAGAAATCATGGTTATTTGTTGGAAAAAGCAAGGACTGGGGAATGCATATACTAAACGATTGGTTGATTGGATCGCTGCCAACCGTTTTGATTGGTTGGCGGTTCCGGTCAATCACCTGCGTTCGCCTGCCGTTTTTCTGATTGATTGTCCCAGAAACAAAACAGTTTTCAGGAAGCATGCTAACTCCCTGGCACCGTTCACACACAGATGCTAGTAAACGAGTCTCCAGAAGGTTGTACACCCTTGGACTGGGTGACCGACCAATGGACATGTAATACAATACAATGCCATTTTGCAAGACTGATCGGTAACTCCCACACGCGGGACCAGATCATTAAGCGTTCAAGTCCTGCAGGGTGTTTACATCAAGCCCCGACTGGATTGGTCTTCAAATTTTTGAATCGTCCGCGTATAACAGACTTTTCGATTCAAAACAGTCTGGCAAGTCGTTGATGAAAAGCAGAATTGAAGTTGGCCCCAGTACCGACGCTTGCAGCAAGCCACTGGAAGCTGCCAACTGTGCTGATCTTTCCTTGACGCTTTCGTGGAGAATAACTTGTCCTGTCAATAAGCTACAGTTACATCGGGTGCTGGGTGCCCATCGACCTCAGTTTTTGCGGCAGTTTCGCATGCGACACTTTGTCAAATGCTTTACTGAAATCCACGAACACAACATCCGAGAGATAACTAACAGCTTTGGACTCTGACCAATGTTCACGCGCCAATGGGAGATTAGGTAGACCGGAGCGGCCTTGACAGAGGCCGAGTTGTCGGGGAGCAATAAGGCGTTGAATCTCTAGCTGAAGGATGATGTGCTTTGCCACCAATTTCTGCAGCACCTTGCATACCACGCAAGTGAAACTCACCGGACGATAATTGACTAGGGCTTGCTTATCACCACCCTTAAACAGTGGAACTACCAACACTTTCTTCCAGTTAGACAGTAGTCGTCTAGTTCTCAGGGACGCGTTCAAAATTTTGCCAGCGGCATCAAGACGAAGTCAACAATTTCTCTGGGCACCGAGGGGGTGACCTACTGGTTGGTATGAATGAGGTAGATGTGGTGCCTTAATGACCTTATCGATTTCATTTTGG